AATGGTGAAGTCCTCTGGAAATCTTCAATAATTGTTGTTGATTGCAGATGTGTCTAGTAGTTCCCATTGATTTAGCTTGGAAAGCGGGGAGAATGGCGCTAGGCTTACCGCACCGTGACGTCACTGCTGGAAGATGGCAGGAGGGAGGGCTACTATATTTGGGCAAAAATGGCCGCTCCCAGACTCAGTGATCGCCACGAAAATTATTAGTTTTTATTTTTTTACTAATTAATGCTAAATTCATTAAATCACCGCAAAGGTAGCAAAATTCCGCAAAATTCCTGGCTGACCGGACTTTTCCTTTAAGGTTGTGTACCGTTACTCTTGGTAACCATTTAATTTTAATTATTAAATTAGCAGATGATAAAATTATTATTTGATTAATCTGTTTTAATTAATAATTCAATTAATAATTATTATTAGTTAATAATTTATTTCAGCCCTAACACTCACTCATGCATACAAGCATATACATTTCTGTAGACTTTTGACCAAAAAGTCAGATAATACTTTTCATTATCATCCACCAGAATGATTAAGGGACTAAAATGATGGTTCCCTTCATGTTTGTTTCCCAACCTTAGAGTCCATCAATGGTTCCTGTTCCTGTCAGTCTCAGACTGTCTTTTCCATTCCAGCTCCTTCCAGAGATGCTCAGTAGGATGGAGGTCAGGGCTCCTAGGGGCCACCTTAGAACAGTCCAATGTTTTCCTCTCAGCCGTTTCCGGCCGTTTCTGTGTTTTGGCTCCTGATCCTGTTGAGCTGCTGCTGACACCAAACTGTCTGACACTGCAGCACATTTCTCTCTATGATCCCTGACAGTCTGGAGATTTCAATTGACTCTGCAGAGATTCAGATGAAGCAGCCCAGAGCATAACAGAGCCTCCTCCATGTCCCACAGCAGGAAAATGTGTTTTTTTCCACATCTGTGAAGATAGAGCTGATGCTTCTTGGCTTAAAATCGTAGGGAAACGGCTGTTCCAACCGCTGCATTTCCGAATTCTCCCGAGTGGTGCCCGACTTTACATGAGTGAATAAAGTGAATTTAATAGGTAGTTTATCAAGGGGGCGGGATTGTTGTGGCGGAAGGTTTGCAA